GGAGATTGGAGGATTTTTTTAGCCACGGTGGTTTTGGTTTGGGAAATGATGATGGATTTGAGAATAATTTAATTAAAGGATAGGGTAGACGTAGTGTGAGGTGCGTGGTGTAGGGTGTGTGGGGGCACCTTGGGGCTGCGTAAGAGCACCTAAATTTTGAAATATAAAATTTTTGTACTTTGATATTTGAAATGTGAATTTAAAAGGACAGTTTCTCGATACTTTTCCCATTTTAAAATGCATTTTTCCAATTTAATGGGCTCAAACAACTTCATTACCCTTATTGAATTTTGGGTTTTGATAAACAAATAGGGCCCCTGTGTCAGGGCACCGATTTGGCGCCCCCATTAGAAGGGGCGTCGATGGGGTCAAATTTCTTAGAACCAACCAGATTTTTTTGTTATGAAGCAAAAAAGGACAGAATTGATATTGAGAGATCTCAATTCTCAACCATGAGTGTTCACTAAAACTGTATTAAGTAGCTTTTAATAAAGATTAGACAGAAATTGTATGAGTACATTTAACAGAAATAAATTAGTATGGATTTCGAAATTCTACCAAAATAGTGAGATTAAAATAGAACAAACACGAAATTCGAGATATATAAAAATAGAATTTCTTTTGTTATAAAGCAAAAAAGAAGACAAAAAATGAACTTTCTTTTACGGTATATGGTGGTTCTATTAACATTCAATTAAAGGGAGTGATAAAAGTTAAAAGGGCTACATTATGTAGATCGAGGAAAAGGGAATTGAAATTCTGTAGTTTGATTCTTGTTCCTTCCTTTAGGGTTGGACAAAATTCTTGAACCAAACCGAACTCGAATCGAGCGGTTCTTCTTAGATTAAATACCAGAATGAATATTTTAATTGAAAATCGACGGGTTTGGTTCAATTTTCGATTCTAGATCAAGAACCAAATCTACTTAATTTTTTTAATTAACTTATTTTAAATAAGCCAAATTATTTTATTTTTCTAAACAAATTTCTTAACTAGTTAATTTGAATATAATTTTCTTATTTCTAATTTTCAGTTCAAAGTCAATTTAATAAAATTGACCTATGTTTTATCCAAATCTGTTACTTTGTTGTAGTGTGGTTTCTACCGTTCTGGAGAAATTGAATTGAAGCTCGACAACGCCTCTTTTAATTATTTTAAGCTCATTATTTTCCACTTCTTGTGATTTTAATAATTAAATTTATGAATAACTCAGTAAAGAGAAACGTAAAAGACACATAATATTAGACTACGTTATTTTGTAAGTGCTAAAATTGAACATATCATTAATTGAATTAATGTAACTTTGTAAATATTAAAAAAATTAATTATAATACGGAACTTGAGAACCGAATGGAACCGAACCCGAACGATTCCATAATTAAATTTGAATCCGATGGTTCCACTTATTAAATACTTGAAAATTTCGGGTCCGATTCGATTTTCGTTAGAACCAAACCAAATCAGACCATGTTCAGCCCTACCTTCCTCCAGCAACGTGCAAATTTCTTTAATTGGAATACAAGGTGAAGCTTTTATTATAAAGAGAGTGGTGGGTTTAGGGATGGTAAAAAAATTCGTTAAACACGATATCTGCGAGTCCCACCTCGAATGTAGTGGGGATTACCTGCTTAATTGGGTATTCGGATTGGGTTAGAGTCGGGGAATTTCGCCCCGAGGCAGGTACGAGTAACACTCGACCCATCCCATTTTTTATTTATTTTTATTTTTTAAGAATTCAATACTTCAATGGGGTGTATTCAATTGAGATTTTTGAAAATTTTGATAGACTTTTTTTAGGTGATGATTCTGTGGATTTCGTGAATATTTTATAGATTTATATAGAATTAGTGAAAGTCATTTGTAGACTTCCGTGGACTTTCTTTTTAAATTTTTTATAGACCTCTGTAGAATTTGAAAGATTTTTTCAAACTTTCATTTGAAATAGAATTCATATGAATTTAGTGCAATTATGTGAAATTCTCACATACGAGATGCTGGTTTCCATAATTTTTCTTTTTTTCCCCTTCTTCTTTCCATATAGTATTAAAAAAAATTAAAAGAATATTAAATAAATAAATAATAATCAAATTTATACATATATATAATTAACAGAAAAAAAAATAAATTACCTCTAATGTACGTAGAAGGAAAAATGAAAGAAAATTTGTAATTTTGTGAAAGTCGTTCAAAATCTTGTAATTAATGAGAGACAAATTTTGAGATTTTATATAAGTACTCCAGAAACTTTTATAAAAGTCTCTAGAAGTTATTAAAATTTGAATACCCAAAAACTTATAGAAATTTCTAAAAAATTTTAATTGAATATATCGTAACTCTAAGAAACTTTTTAAAAAAAGTTTACAAAAGTCTCAATTGAATATACCGTGACTTTTAGAGATTTTTTAAAAATTTATAAAAGTCTCAATTGAATACATCATTATTTTTAGAGAGTCTCAAAAAATCTACGTTGAATATCTGTAAGCTTTTTAAATTTCCACAAGTTATTAAAAGTCTCAATTGAATACATCCCCCTAAATGAAAAACTCCACAAAATTTCATTAATTCTCATAGAAGATAACAACTAAGATTATTTAAGGAATATGATAAACAATAAAAATGTTAGTATATCAAATATATTCGAATAATTTAACTTCTAAAAATAAGTAAATTGATTAAAAAATTAATTAATTATATTATCGTCTCACATTAATGAATGGAGGTAATAAAATGAATTATTAAAATAAAATAAAAAACTTAAACAGGGCAAGGCACCGCCCTGCCTTGAATAGGTAACAGAGCGAGATATTGCTCGGTGGTGTAAGGGTAGGGGAGCTCATCCCGTTGACATCCCGTGGCTTGGTGGTGAAATTAATGATAGGAAAGTTGAGATTGTGTGTGTGTGAGAGAGAGAGAGAATACTTAACGTTGTTAAAAAACTGTTAAGGATGAATGATATAGCCTCTGGTTATTTTCAATTTTTCTGCCCAATTTTAATCAATTTTTCAACCGTTGCTAGACTATCATCCATGATTGTTGACTTCTTCTCTCACACTGGGCCCTACATGCTGGCAAAAAGAGCAAAAAATGAATTATTTTCTTCTAACAATTGGAGACAAACAGAGGCTAAAATAGATTACATGTTCATTAAAAATGAGGTGTCAACATTTGAATGGGTAGACAACAAATAATGGATAGTAGATCTTCACTCCAAATTTGTAGTTTCAGCTTTATATCCTTTGCAATCATATCTTTTAATCATTTTTCATAAATTTAACTAGTAATTATAAGTAGGTTATTGTTAGGAATTGATTAATAGAAATTTCTTAGAAGTACGGGTGTGTTTGATTTTAAGTATGGAATTTACAATTTGTATAGAAATCGTCAATTAAATGTATTTAATTGATTTAATTTTCAAGGTAGAAAATATTATACTTATCCATTTTTTATTGGTAGGTTAATGAGAGAGAGAGTGGATAAATAAGAAAGTGAATTCTATGGAAAATAAAACCCTACTCTTCCTAAAGAAAATATTTTCTTTGATTTTGAGGAAAATATGGTCACGTGACCAAAAGTGGGAAAATATTTTTCATGATAAAAATGACAATCAAACAGTAAAAAAGTAAGAATTTGAGTGGAAAAAATACATTTTCCATAGAAAATATAGGCAATCAAACGCACTCTAATAGTAGAACTATAACATGAATAATAATGGGTAATAATTATGAATAAGTAATTGAAATTAAAGTTTAACTTAGCTTTTGTTTAATTCTCAATATTTTCAAACTACATTTTTCTCTTTCATTTTTAACTACATATTATTCAATAAAATAATATTCCATACAAATTCAATTTTTTTAAACCACACATTATCTATCAATCTATTATTTCAAAATGCATTCTTAGTCAAAAATAGGGTTCAAACATGCATTTAATAATGTTAGTTGAGTACATATTTTGGCTAAAAATATATTTTGTAATAGTAGATTGATAAAAATATATATGATTTGAAAACAAGAAAAATTTTGAATTTCGTGCTATATTATTTTTATTGAAAAATGTGTGATCGAATATAAAAGAGAAAAAAATACTCCACCCGTCCTATTTATATAGGCTTATTTTCATTATTTTATTGCCCCAATTATATAGTCTTGTTTATTTATTGAGCCCATGTTTAATTCCCATTTTTTGACCGCAAAAATTAAAAATATGATCGTTATCTATCACATCAAGTCACCATATTTGACTTTCTATATCTTGTGTGGATTTCATAACGACTATATTTTTCATTTTCATTCTTACAAAAATGGGTACCAAACGAGGTTTGAGCTTGTTTTATTTTGTTTGTTTACTAATATACCCTTATTTAATTTGTCTAGTAATAACCAATTTTTGTCTCTTAATCTTGAAATTGTACAAGCATAAATAAGTGTAAACTAGAAAAGTTATCAGCAAAAATTTTTCAATAACATTAAATAAGATTTTTTTAATTCGCGTAAAAAATAAAATAAACTTATATAAATGGGACGGAGGGAATATATTTTGAACATCAAACAAGGACTTAGTATTTAATTAACCTATAAACAAACAAAGCCCCCGTTTGACCCCATTTTTTGGAAATGAAAATAGGTAGAATGATGTTCTTTTGAAAAATACTTGGTTGAAAAATAATGATTTTTTAAACTTACGTATAATATTATTTCATGAAAAATTGTATGATTGAAAATAAGAAAGAGAAAAATGTAACGTAATTTAACGAGATTCAAACATTAGCAAAATAGCAAATCATGCCACATATTCATCAGTTCCCTACAATTTTGTATCCCGTATGGATTTCCTTCTCTACCCTTCATTCAAACGACGTTCTCGTAATCCATGAAGGTCAAAAAGGTAAATTCACACACGACAAGCGCGTCTTTCCAGATTAACAGAATTTTTTAATCCCGCCATTGCATGGCTAAATTCAAACTTTCAAAATCCCTCCCAATCAAAATTCCAAAACCCTAAGACCCGCCAAGTCAACAATAATTCTCAACGGTCCCCTCTCTCTGTATCTATATAAATATACACGATGTGTAGAGAATTTGCTGATCTTGAGATTTTTTTTTCATCAAAAACCCCCAAATACTTGTGAAGAAACAGTAGAATTTTACGTGTGTGTGTGTGTGGGTGGGTGGGTAGAGTTTAAACTTCGAAGAAATGGCTTTACCTAATTCAGATATGTCAACTGAATCTGGATCTAAATACACGCCGTATTGCCGGAAGCAGAAATCACTTGGTCTATTGTGCTCCAAGTAACTTTTCTGAGGAACCTATTTTATTTTTTAAATTTCTGTATATACTTCATTACGGAGATGTATGAATGAGCACTGTTTGATTGTATAGTTTCTTGAGCTTGTACAATCGGGACGGTGTGGAAACAATTGGACTTGATGACGCAGCCTCGCGATTAGGTAGCCATTCGAGAATTTTGCTGCATTTCGTGATTTTGAAGATTATGTTTATATTTTTTCAATTTTTTTGGGGTATTTGTAGGGGTGGAAAGGCGGCGGATCTATGATATTGTCAATGTTTTGGAAAGTGTTGGTGTAAGAACTTCTAATAATTGAACTCTTTTTAATTCTTAGAATAATTACCATTTTTGTATTTGAAACTTCTTTAATTGGATAGATTGAAGTAGAATAGATCTGAATTTTGGCTGATAAGAATTGGGCGATTTCAGATTTTGGCTAGAAAGGCAAAAAATCGGTATACTTGGAAGGGTTTTCGAGCAATTCCTAAGGCTTTGCAGGATCTAAAAGTAATATTTCGTTTCCACCCTATATCCCTTCTAATGCTTGAATCGTGAAAGTGAATTTATTGTATTTTACTTGTTAATATTTCAGTAGAGAACAGTGATTTATATATTTGTTATGTTTGATGCTGCTATAGAACGAAGGTTTAAAGGAGAATTGCCATGGAGCTGATGGAAATTGCTCTGAGAAAGTAAGTATCAATTTCGTTGGATCTTCGCTAGAAGTAGTCAGTAACAAGTTCGAATAGCACATCCTCATCTAATCAAGAATATAAATTTGTCCAACAGATTCATAGATTTTTAGCATCAAGAGAACTGATTTTCTTATATTCAAGAGCAGATAAAAAAAATGTGTGGGGTATTCCGCTGCATCAGTAAATTATTTTTTTCTCAAGTATCTGATGCTATGATCCAGCATGAGAAAGTGCATTCTTTCGCTGCATCAGTAATTCCCATCTTCTCGAGCATCTGATGCTATGATCCAGCATAATAAAGCGCATTCTTGACAAAAATCATCGAGCAAAACTAAGTCAAAAAGCGCTACTTCAGAACAAACTCACAACTTTTGCTCTTATACCCTTACAGTTCAAAGAAATTAACGATATGAGATTTCTTCGGCAGCTGGCAGGTCATGAAACAGTGTCAACAGTGCCTGATTAGGAGACGGCCTGTTGAACGTCCAATGGCACCTTGCTCCAACCTGGGCTATGCAACAATGAGACGGTCACCCATAATATGCTCACTTGGGGCCCGACCAAGCTCTTCACGATTTGACCCTTCCATTAAGAGTTGTTGGAGCTTTCCCATGACGACTAGGAATAGGCAAATAAAAAATTTCACTTGGAATTTTGGGTCCTTGCAACTTTGGAGATGGCTTCTTTTCAAGACTTGTGTTATATTATGCGTTTGGGCAAGCTCTGCACTCATGATCGATCCACTTTGAGATCATTTGCTTCAGCATATTCACTTGATTTGTTTATATTATATTATATGGTTCTGCCATTTGTGTAGACTTTTCATTTTTTGTAGAAGAACATGTTTGAATTAATGAAACGGTTAATTTATGTAAGATAGCTTAGAATACTACTGTTTATCTTATTCAGTTTCTAAACTGTATTTGTTGTCATACAAACTACCTGAATGTGAATAGCTTGTTTTCTAAGGTGAATTGCATTAAAAAGGTGTTTCTTTATCTCTCAGGTTTCAGATGATGATGAAGATGAAACCTACTCAGATACGAACAATTTAAGTCAGAATGATAAATCAAACCCCAATTCTCTTTCTAAACTTTCAGTGCCACAAAAATCTGGTATTGAATACTGAATCTTCTATGCGATGCTTGTTTCTTAGGACATGTTATCTTAGACAATATTTTTTTTCACTTATTTCCTGAACTTTGCTTTTAATTCTAGGTGACAACAGAAAGGAGAAGTCTCTGGGGCTTCTTACACAGAATTTTGTTAAGCTCTTCCTTTGCACTGATGTAAGTGTAGACTTCAGATTTATCAGTCTTTGATTCTTATCAATTTCCCAATTTATGATCCTCGCCATATGGTCTCATGTTTTTGCTACCTCTTTAGATGGAATTGATTTCTCTTGATGATGCTGCAAAGCTATTGCTTGGGGATGGAAAGCACACTTCAATGACTACTCGAAGTAATTTACCTTTCATTTTCGTTTTGATGATCTTACTAATACATTAAGATACATAATCATGGAACCCTTTGATTAACAGTATTTTTCTATAATTCTGCAGCAAAAGTCAGAAGGCTGTATGACATTGCCAATGTCCTGTCTTCCATGAAATTTATTGAAAAGGTGATCCATCCTGCTAACTTTTTGATTGAAGAGGATAATTCTGCTAAATCACATTTTTTTCCATCTAAACCTGATGTATTAATATTCCAGAAGTTAACTATCTCAAGATTTATGTGGGTGATAAAATATAAAACAAAAACTAATAGGGCATCTAAAAAAGTACTAAAATGTGTCTTGGATTATGTGCAGATTCATCACCCAGAAACAAGGAAACCTGCATTTAGATGGTTGGGGCTAGAAAATGGACCACATAATGAGTCCAAGAAACGGGTATTTGGGACGGACCTTACTAATTCCACGTTAAAGAGGTGCAAGGAGGATGGGAACGCCAAGCTGCAGCTGCAAAAGCAAGTTAGACATCAGAGTTTGGAGAATGAGGTTGACACATTAAAAACAAGTGCAAAGAGTTTCCAGTTTGGTCCTTTTGCACCTGTAAATGTACCAAACGTTGAAGCTCCAGGCAATGGCAAACCGAAACGAGTTATTGATTGGGAAAATCTGGCCTCTACTTATCGGCCTCGGTATCACAATCAAGGTATCTATTACTTCTGCATGGAACAAACTTCAAAAGTCCTGTTACTATTTAAATGACAGACATTCTACATGTTGCACCAACACTAATTGAACTATAACTTGGACAATCGTGATATCTTCATGCTGTTATGCTTTTGCTTCTTATGGCAGACTGCTGTTTTGTCAAAAAAATGGACACTGTACCTCATTCCTTTCTTTAGTAGATAATAATTCTCCACGACTTTTAAACCAATCTCGTTCTGTTGCTAATATTAGCTAGTTACTATTATCCATTCACAATACCTGGACCTTTAATTTATTTCTCTGAAATTGTTCCAAAAGCTACAAATTCTGGTCTTCCATTTCACAGAATGTAGCACTTACACTGGTTTCAGTGTCCTTTTCTAAGCTAGTCAAGTTTTAGTAGTAATCAGTTTATGCATAGTGAATAAAGTCGCCACCTTTTATTATTGCTTAAACAAGCAACTAACCAGAAGACATAATAACAAAATCTTTTACAACGGTAATGAGATCTTTCCTTGAATAGAGTAGCATTTGTTTATGATATTACAGCTTTGCGGGATCTCTTCTCACATTATGCTGAAGCATGGAAATCGTGGTATGCTGAAGTTGCCGGGAAGGAGCCAATACAACTAATGCCCTAACAGTTTGGAGGTCATCAGGAGCATTGATGTACACTTAATACTCTTCTCTGTTTTCGTCATTTCACAATCAATGTACATTAATTAGAGGTTCGTAACATTAGTTTTCTTGAATATTAATTGATTTCTCTAGTATACATGTTTTGATTTTTCAGAGATTGCTTAGTCTCAATTGTAGGATTGCTTCAAGCACAATTGCAAAATGAATAGCCCAAATACTGTTCATTTTCAAGTTGAGGCTGAGAAGGCAAATGAATAACTCGCATTTTCAAATAATGCGAGTGTATAGTGGTAAACGAATTCTAGGATCTTTATGTCATTTGCACCCAAATTAACTATTTTTATTTTATATAATTTTAAAATATTTTCTTAATAAGTTCTGGAATTTTTAAACACATTTTGTATCAAATATGCTTCATAACATAAAACTTAATTGATATAAAAATGAATGCTCAAGATGACACTTCAATCTTTCTTGCTTCTTATAGCTATTCGCCTATTCCTGTCCCTTCATGTTAATCCTACGAGTCCCTTAATGCTCATTTAGTCCTTGTTTGGTAGGAATTTTAATTTAAATCAATGCTAACAATTACTTCTGATTATTTATTTTATGGGACCCATTACTTTTTAATCATATATTTCATCAATTTTTACAAAAATTTGATTTTAAATCTCACCAAATAGGGGCTCAATCACATCTTGAAGTCTATTTGAATATTTTTATAGATAATGTTATATATATCGAATTTTTTACCTACTATTCACAATAGGGGTGGGGATCACATGTCGGTATTTTTTAAATTAACGTAAGGCCCGTGTGCATTGTAAGAGGAGGAATACCATTCAGTACTCCACATTCGGTACATAAGGGATAATCCATATTTATACATCCTGCATTGGACCTGGTTCGACATTCTCTAAACCTACTGACTTGATAAAATTCAAGCCATAAACGCAGGTTAGAGTTCACCGCTTAGAAAATTGACTCTCAATTAATGATTCAGCAGTTCCATTCCAATGCATAGCTCAACGGCTCGTTTAGTACATGCATTTCAATAACTGGCCAAAAATGCACATGTAAACAATAGTTTCACCAAGAGCATGTGGGATTTTATTGTTTGATCACTAACGAGAGTAAATTTCACCAGAAAAATATTCTTTTATTTAACAATAAATAGACGAAGTAGTATTTCACAATGAGGACGCTGAAAATACTAGTCATGGTGACAATCGCTCAATTTTCCATGCTCTCGTTCCATCAGTCTCAATTGGAGAGTAAAGCAACCTGTCAAAAAGAATTAAAAAAAAAAAGACACAAATGAGTTGAATATTCGGTTTTAACGACACAGTGCAACATTTGATTCTTGAACTCTATTTCATAATATCACTCTTAGCAGAATGGGAAAATAATGACTGTTTATTCTCAATCGTTGTGCATTAACATTGTTTTCTCGTTTGATTTAAAAAAAGTTTCTTATCCTTGATGACAAGTTTTCAACTTCACCTAGCTGGCAAATTGATAATGGTGCTATAATTCCTTCCAGTCAGTCACCAATTTTTTGCCCTTCTTTTTAAAAACAAGCAAGTCTTCACTGATAAATTCTAGATACATGTTCACCATAAGTTAAATATCTGTTACTGTCACATTTCTCTCATATAAAAGTTCTCTTCTCAGCAGTATTCATCTTTTTTCATTTTGGTTTTCTAAGAACATCCTCTAGTACAAACAAACACATTGTTTATTATACGACATACAGGTATATGTTAACTAAAAACGAGAATGTTCCCAAAAAGGTCTGTGCTACTTCATAATTGTAAATTAAAGCGACAAAAAGTGACTCCGAACCAATCAGGGAAAACTCGACATTGTACTAGGCTCCATAATGAGTCATGAGACAATCTCAATCTTACCTATCATGCAAGCGAGAAGGTTGTCCTTGCCAAAACTCAAAAAGCTCAGGTTTTAGTCTGTATCCTCCCCAGTATTTGGGTTTGGGAATAGTGTTCCTGCGATAACACAAAAGAGATCTTTTTTAGAGTTTTAAGTTGATATGGAAAACCCGTTAGAAAGAAAATTTTAAAAATGAATAATTTGCCTACAAGATGATGTAAAGTATACTTTGCTTTTAGACATAATATAAGGTTGTGTATGCATACTCATGTACATGGCAAAATTGATATGCTAGAAATTTGTGATACCACTATACAGCAAAAGAGAAAATGGATAGACAGTCAATTTGTGCAATTATCTAAAAGCAATCTAAAATAACATGATGCAGCGAAGGTTCACAGCCTTATCAAAATGTGACTTCGTTCAGACTAACATGGATATTAGAGCCAGTACCAATTCCTTGAGCATGAATTAGTATTGGACCAGTAAAGAATGAATTACTAACCCATCAGAGTATTTCGCTTCCAGCTCTTCCTGTTGTTGGTGGAGAAACTGCCGTCCAGGAATTACAGTGCTCTGAACGAAAACAAGATACTGATCTTGGTAACTTGTGCAACCTAATCAGAAAAGCAATCATGATATAAGATAATTTTGGAGAATGTATATTAAAAAAAAAACCTGCTTGCTAACTATTGCTCCAATCTGGCTTCCTCTTGGCCGGCTGTGGAAGTACTTCTCTGACTCTTCTTCTGATACTTTTTGCACTGGCCCTTCAACTCTCACCTACAGACCAACAAACGACGTGAAGTTCAACCATACTCATTTAGGGAATCATTTTAAGGGATATATATATGGCAGTTAACATCTATTAGGATTTAGGACTTAGTGACTCCGAAACATGAGCATTGGTGCAGCCCTGTCTAGGAGGTCTAGGAGGTTGAGCAGACAGAAAATGGCGTTTTTGACACTGAGGGGACATTGGTTTCTTAGTTCACAAAATGCCTTGTAAGGTTTGGTACTTTAAAAAGAATCCAATGACAATAAGAAATTATAACCACAATTCCTTAGTCAATCCGTGTAATACTACCATAGAGATAAGAGTTCTCTTCCTATGAATAAAGAAAATAAACCACAGGATAGTTATAAAACTACTGCTTTATGACACTTGACTAAACTTTGAGGCAATGAGCTCACCTGACGATTCAAACCATCCCAGTAAAAGAGGAGGGCAGCACTAGGATTTTCAGATATTTGCTGAGCCTTTTGACTCTCATAATTGGTATACCTGCTCAGAGAATCAGAAGTTAAGATTCCAAAAGTGAAAGGTCAGGCAAGATCTATGACCATAAGAATGATACAGCAGAACTTACCAGACAAAACCATCTTTGTCAACTCCTTTTAGCAATACCATTCGCGATGATCTGTGCAACACCATTACTTTGCAACATCAAATTGCTGACATAATTTATCTCAAACTAATGAAGAGTTTTAGGAACGAGATATGATCGAAATCAACTTCAAATGTTATCTCACAAGTTGATCTTAATATGTGCCACAGACGAATTAAAACAATACTTTACACGTCTTGCAAAATCATATTTTATTTGCAAGACTAGTATGAAAGAACAGATAAATCAATAGCAGTGTAAGACACTTACGGTTTCCCATCCTTTCCAGTTGTGGAAAGGGCCATAGCATTTGGTTCCTTCAGGCCTGCTGCCACAGCATCATCAAACCATTTTTGGAACTGCAGTAAGAAAATGCTTCATTTTAAAGCAAAATGAGTGATTTTGCAGGTATGTAGAGAAATATAGTATCAAAATCAATTTAGCAAAGTACTAAAGAACTTCTCAAAACATTTATGGGAGAAATATATATTACCTATATCCCAAACATATATCAAAACTTATAATTTATAATGCCCAGCTGATCTCTTCGACATAAAACAATACCTGATCAAAGGGGTCGGTCTGAGCCTGGTCCTCAGAAAACTCGGGAGATATATAGTTCTCCCTTAGAGCTGATATGTCAACTTGTGGAGGCTTCCCAATTCGGACGCACATAGAAGTGCCAGGATATGCTGGAAGGTTAAGCTTGAATTTGTCTGCAATAGGTGGGGGGACAAATCTGCCACCTAGAAAGTGGTGTGGACCAGAAAACTTTTTGGCACACAACTTAGGAGCAGTCAAGGAAACCTACATATAGGTTCCACCTTTTAGAAGTTTCAAAAATGGCGAGGGAAATAAAGAGGCTATCTTTTAGATGCTCTGAAAAATGGAATATAAAAATTTTAAACAGTGGGTACATACCAGCATGTCAGGTTTAATGCCTTCACCACTAAGATCTCCTTCTTCGACATGCCATCCAGATGGAATATCTACAGAGACAATGACAGGTGACTTCTGATGCTTTTGATTGGGATTTCCTAAGGCGACCAGCCTTTGTATCATATCATCGAAAGGAGGCCTTGGGGTACCTAGATGAGTTATACAGATTGGATTCAGATATAAAAGAACAATTACGTAAATGCTTCCCCAATTGAATAATTAGAAATCTCTCAGCTGCTTTAAGATTGGACTTTATGCTACTTCCATTGCAAAAAAACTGGAATATTTTTTTTTTAACCATCACTCACCAGACAAATGTCAACTTCAATGAAATAGAACATTAGAACTTAACAAAATGATCCAGCTACTGGCACCCTGACAAGAAATTATCTATATTTAAAGATTTTTAGCAAATTTATATTGTTTAAAATACATTGTTTGGTGAATTATTGATTGTGCAAAACAAAAACAGTTATAGGCCCTACGGAAAATGGTAACTGCTTATTTAGTTTTATGCTCTTAGAGTGGAAGACTCATTCGGCAACTCTACGAGATAGATCTCTCTAGTTTGATAGCATATTCCTCAAAATCCAGTCATAGAGTTGAAAATATAGCCAGAGGAATCATGAACATATTCATTCTAGTGTATTTCATCAGTTGCTTCAACATTTCTTCAGTACAGTATTGAAGTTAGCTAGACTTCATGAGGTTTTCAGCAAGTATTGTCCTATTACACTCTGTATGTTGACATGGGTTCGAGAATACAACATGAATATACTATGAATTCAAAAACTTCAAAGTAATTTTTCCACTCCCTGCCGACTAGTCTGAGCCTGACACTTGTAAATCTTTGGCTAGACATTGAAATTACCCGGCACCTTATATTCACGGTTTTTCATAACAAATCTGGAATTTTTTTACATTGTAGTGCTGTCAAAAATACCATAGATATTAGAACAGTATATTTGTCTACAAAATAGTAGAAATTACAATGTTGACGCACTCATTCATAGATGAGAAAGAGAAATTATCACACACAAAATGAATTAGAAAAAAAACCTGTCCGACCAAGAAAATGAACAGACCAAAATGCTTCTGTAGGGTGTGTTATCCTCGGAAGTACACTGGTTGTTGTGAAGATAAGTATGAGTTGCAGACTCCAGAAAAATAAGAGGAAAAAGAAAAGAATTCTTAGCTAAAAAGATTATTTTTATTTATTCATTTATTTGCGTTTTTAGGGAATACAAGAAATATGGTCATACACTTTCGCAGACAGATTGAACAGTAGGAAAGCCGCTGGTAAAGTTAAATACACATGTTATAATGAACTTGTAGAATTAGCTATTTCAACAATAACTTCTAGGATGGATGTACAACCAGTGAGCAATTACTTGAAGCAGCTTTTTACTTCTCACTTCTCCAAGCACTATTACAGCAATAGGCCAAATAAAAATGGATATACCATCAAATTAACATCAAGTTTTAAACGAGAGAGAGAGAGAGAGAGNAGGTGCTATATCACTAATACGAAGTGTATCCCAACTTCAACATTAAGTCCTCTTTTCACATTAGAACTACTATCACTGATGAAGTGTTTCAAATCCGACAATTTATCGAAATTACACCCGATGAAACTATCACTTTCCTTTTCTCGATGCCACGCTCAATATGAAAGAAAGAGCGAAGAACTTAACATGGTCACGTTTACACTGAAACATACAAAATTCAATTACATGCGTAAGTGGCACAATTTTTATAACACTAGAATAAGATTATTTCAACCTACAGTATTTACTCAAAATCGCCAATTAAAAGAACAGTGATTATGAAACAACAATTTACCTCAGCTATTGAAGTAGCCACACTCAAACCAGCTAATTCCTGCAACAAAAAAATTCACCTTTCATGCCACTAAAACCTGAAAATATGAACCTAAAAACTACAGCTAAATTGAAAAATAAAAAGAAAAAAAAAACAGACCATTAACTGATCCACGCTGAATCCAAGCGGACCCATGAGAATTTCATCAACTTCCGCTGCCTCTTGTTGACTTAAGTATGATATAGATTCTGGGTCTTGCACAATTTTCGCTGCTGATGCCATTGCTTTTGTTTCACTACAAAATCCCGACTTCTGAAAATTTATCTTCGAATTTGAACCCCAAAAACCCTGTATTTTCAACCAAAAGTAAATCATCAAATCGCTTGTAGCGTGAAAGTATGCTATGGAGAGAATTACTTACAGAGCGGAGAGAAGGGGGATTGAGAATGTGAGTACTCTTGAGATAATTAGGGAAATTGGGAGGGTGAAGAAGTGATAATTGATTGAGAAGGCATTTCATGGTTCTGGTTTTGCACAGCAATGCTAGCATTTTAATTTTAGTGTTCTTGGTGGCTAGATTTGTAAATTTATCAAACTTGTATTTTGCCCTTTGGAATTTACTAGGGGAAAAAAAAAATTAAACAAGAAAAATAAAATCTTAATAAAGAAATTTTAGAGCAAATAATAATTTTATCCTCAAAATATATTAATTAGTGATTGAAAATAAAATTGATTTGGTATTCACAAGGGACTTTCTAACTATGTTAGATTACCTTCTTACCCTTATTTCTCTCACAACTATATTATCCAACTATAGTTTCAACGCACTTAGTTATTCTATAAGAAGCCATCAAGTTGTTATTTTGCTAGCTTGCTCACTATGCAGTGATCCTAAAATCGCAATAGTGGCTCTTGTGAGGTATTTTATCGAATATTGGCAGTACAATGTGAATGAGATTTTTATCTGAAATAGAAATTGTAATATTATATTCATGACATGTTTTATTAGAAATGACTAATATATGTGAATGAATGCACGTGACAATATCCTTCTTTGGCCAAATCATTCGAAGAGTAGATTTTGCCTTTTTTTTTAATCCAAAAGTACACGGTATTTAAAAACTTATCTAGAGCTTGTTTGGGGGTGATTTTGAGAATTGATTTTTTGACCGTTAGAAGAAAAGTGGGGTCCACCTGTGAGAGAAGAAGTCAAATATGACAGTCGAAATAGTAAAATAACGATCAAAAAATCGCTCCCAAACAAGTTGCTAATATCAAATAAATTTAAGCCCTAGTTTTGGAATTTTGAGAAATTCAACCCCAAGAAAATATATAAAGAAAAAAAGAAGCTAATTTTCTCCCTCAATAGTACGTACCAACATCGAAAATTGGAGGGTTAATTATGTTAATGATCACTGAAGTTTAGAGTAATTAAATTTTTTGTTATTGAACTTATATTTTTATGATAATAGTCACCCAGCCAAGTTTCTAAATTTTACACTAATGATTATTTGTTAAGAACTTATGTTGCGTTTGATTGTAAGCATGAAATTTAGATAAAAATAAAATAAAATTAAATTCTTATTTGCAGGAAAATTATTAATTAAATATGTTTGATTGGTTCTTTTTTTCAATCTAAAAAAAATTATATTTGTCTATCTTTTATTAGTAGGTAGATGAGAGAAATAATGAATTATCTAACAAATAGAATCATGCTCCCCTAAAGAAAATATTTTCTTTATTTTTTAAGAAAATATAGTCACGTGATCAAACATATGAAAATATTTTTCATGGAAAAAAAAAAATCAATCAATCAAACAGTACAAAAGTAGGAATTTTTGTGAAAAAAAGACATTTCATGAAAAAATATTGGCAATTAAATGCATCCTTAACGTTAAATTCTATGTGGTACCATTAAGTCACAATGTGTTGCCACATGCCATTACTGTTACACTCTGTTAACAAATTTGGAGAACTACTAATTCAGAATTAATCATTTTTGGGTAAGAAAATGTAATGTGGCTCAAATTTTGGTCAAATTTTCGAGCTTAAATGATATGGTAAGCCCACTTTTTCTTTCTTAAAAATGATTTTACTAACCTGGCATAATAAATAATGCAATTTGGTGACACATTTTTACTTAATTACACAATGTAAGATTTAACCTTAATGTATTTGATCAAATGACCTCAGTGTAATGTAACTATTAGAAAATTGAGTGACTATTACCATAAGAAATTTCTTCAGTAAGACTTGACATAATTACTCATAACATCAATGATCATCAACATAATTAACACCAAGTTGGACACCTTGACATTACAAGTCCACTTTAGAGGCAAAGTTACTTCAAAGCAGTATATCCTTTTAAGATGTCATCGTTGTTATGTATTAAAATATAAAATGACTTCGTAGAATAAGAGTTTAGTGTATCCCATCCGATGCTCTTGAAACACAATCACAAATATCATATATTATAGTCCAGATTTATTTTATTTATATTCCGAATCAAGTTTTCATTGAAATGAAAACAAAATATTACATCTACATTAGAGAACAATGATGTAAATGCATAAATCTTCCCTGCTAGTGTTTCTATTTTCTAACTTCAACTAAATGAACTGATTTAATTGAAAAAACTAATAATAAATTCAGTAAGATACCATTATCGTCAAAACCTACACTAACTATTCCTAAATGTATAACAATTTCACTCTTTTCAGTCTTCTCCATAATACTAGAGAATATCTCTGTATCCATGTTAATTTTTTCAAACAATTTATAAATTTATTGAATAAATCAAGTGTTACATGGAACAGCTTAAAAAAATGTACTGCATAATAAAAATCAGGGGCAACATTGATGTAGGGGCAAATATCAGTCATAAAGAGTGACAAAAGGCAAGACAAAATGCTAGGAATTGGATCCTGCTCTTTAAAAAGACCTTCTAACTTGTGGGGAAAAGTTCACAAACTATTCAAGTATCCTGGACTAGATTGATCGAATGAGTTGAACCTTTCAAGTACTTCTCGAATAGCCAGCGTGATATGTTGAGGGCATTGCCCTTGCTTTGGACTGCGAAAACATTCCTACTACTCTGCCAATCATTTGTAAGTTTGATCCATTCCCTTCTCCATTCTTTCAAGCGAAAACTGTCTCCCTTCTCTAAACTTTGTATTAGAAACTTGAAATAAACTGCTGCACGGGGGCCATAGTAATCTCGTAGAAGTCCGCTCCAGTACTTATTTCCTAGAATGAAGGTAAAAGACCAAGGATCTCAGTACATTATAAATCCCTGTTCAGAGTATTCTGTGCTCTAAAAGCTGGAAGAATCAGATACTAAATGACCACACAAGTCATAGCATCATGGCTATTGATCTATATAAATTACTAATATGGGTTCTCAACATACCGTAGTCACGAAGTAGGCTAGCTTCCTCATCGGTGTTGTCGAACCACATTGTAATTTGGGTTCTTGCATTCCATTCAAACTGCATATTTTTCACTAATTCAAGTGTTGTCCCGGTTGTAGTAATCATGTTCATTCATTTGGAAAGAATGCATACCTGTTTTTCTTGTTCCTCATTTTGTGCTAGTTTCTTTGCACTCTCGAGCCAAGGTCCTAAAAGAAATCCATCATGGCATGCTAAAAGTGTGTCCATATCTTCCACGAGATTGAGAAATTTCTGGCTAAGCTGAGAAACAGCTGGGAGATCACCCCGCTGATATGCTTCGATAACCTTCAAGAAAAGCTGATTTGCATACTTTGCTAAAGCTTGTCTTGTCAGGTCAACAAGGTCGTACCTGAGATGACCATATAGAATTCCACAACCATATGAGGAGGAAAATATAATGGTGATGTTATGGACAAATAAATATGGAGATCCGTGTGAGATGCACCATATGTACATGTTTGGAACGCACTAGTGGACAAGATAATGAACAAGATTTTAGCTTCTTTTTCCAGGATTGATCTCACTTGACATGATAAGTCTCAAAATAATCTCCGTCTTTAATCTTCTATAGAAATGATTTAAGATTACATAAACACAGAACATAAAATTCAATATCATGCTTCATTGATCTAAAACGAAATATATGAAACCTGTAAGTGCTCGTTTCTGAGAGTTGATCCCCGCTTGCAATAAAAAGTTCTAGAGCACGTATTAATTCTGAAGTTGAATACCAGAGATGAGGATGATTATAGGAATCACCAAGTTCATAAATGGCTCTCCCAGGAGATGGATAATTAGCATGGTGATATCTTCCAATAGGTGAAAATGATGGTAATGCAATTGAAAACGGATCAACATCTGGGAAAGCCACAATAACATCTCTATTCTTGTCCTGTAATTACAAACGTTTTAAAAGAAGTGTAACAAAAATTTGAGCATAAAGGCAAGCCTTAACACAGTGAGAAAGATGCAATGGTTAAGAACTACAAAAGCTACACATTATGGCTTACATTTAAACCATCTGTGCAATTATAAACTGTATGATACAGTATATTCCAGGCATCTAGTACAGATGAAACAGATCTGCCGTATCGTCTTTTGGCATATAGATCAATCCATGTCTGGGAGGGAAAAAGTCGAGTTACATTTTGAAGATATAGAAAATGAGGCTCATAGAGGAGTGTGCCAGCGATTGTTAACAATAATGCAAGTAACTGTTAGAAATCCCTCACGATTTCAAATGAATGTACAAAAATTTCGGACTGACTTTGAGCTCTACTTTTAATATAAATACAAATGTGTATAACATGCATTGCAAGGCTTCTTGGTTTACCTTAATGTCAACTCTGTTATGTCGAAATGCCATTTCTGACATAAGATCATAAACAACAGGATTCTGTTCGATACCTTCCATTGACATCCCAACACCAACCTTGAGTAAATAAAATTGAGAGATGAGTAAGACAGAAAATGGAACAATCATAAGTAAAGATGAGTAAATACCGAACGTCATTGAGCAAAGAATAGAGTTCTGAGAAAGTTTCTTACTTTAGCCCTTGATTGATTCACATTCTTGTCAAAAAATGCATTTTTGAATAATGTATTGATGGAAAATGCGTGGTTAAAAAATAAAGAAAAGTCATGGATTTGCATGTAATATTATTTTATTAAAAAATGTGTGGCTAAAGTGGAGTCAAATCACTGTTGAAGAATGTATTTTGATGAAAAAAATGAGGCTCAAGCAAGGGCTTAAACTGACTCTGTGAAATTACAGCAAGTACAAAGCAGTATAAAATCTGAAAAGTAACAATGTTTTTAACCAGGATACGTGAAAAAGACAAATATAAGGCCAGAGTTTTTAGGATACTATGTATGATAAAGTTTTGATAAAAACCTGATGCACATAAAACTAGATCTCGGCGAACATGAGATATGGCTGAAAAAATTGAAAAGATTCGGATATGTTAATTAACAACAGAAAATCTAGTTTTAGAGACAGAGACACTATGTAGAATCTATAAATAATTCAGAAGCAACTGAAGCAAGGCAAGTATTTCAGTGAAATGGCCATGCACGGACATTGTTTAAAATGGTTAGTACTAT